GCCAGGAGGAACCCCTGAGCATCACCGGGTGTGACCCAAAAAGCAAATAAATAAATAAAATAATACATCTGAAACCAATCATTTTCTTTTAACATGCAAATGTAACAGAAGCTCAATTCTTACTTTTGTTTTTTCATTCCTTTCCCTACAAAGCTGAAAACACGCGAGAGAGTTTTGTTTCATTGTGTTCTGATGTGACGTTACCTTTCGTTAATCCCTTCCAGCTAAGCAAAATTTAATTAAAACCATCTCACATGATGGCCAGCCAGTTATGAATTTCTTGGGTTTTTTTTAATTTTTAAAAAATTTTAAATGGGAGACTCAAGCCCAGAAGAAGCTTAGTCTTCAGGGTTCCACCGAGTCCGACGAGGGAGTCAATTCTTTCTCTCTCCAGTTCAGGACTTGTCCATTTGGCCCAGCCCACCTGTCCAGTATTCCGTAGCAGGGGATTTGGGTGCAGATGTTCTGACTTGTGACCTGAAGTGGAAATGGTATGAACTCGAGACTTGCGTAGGAGAGGAAATCCTTTATGAGAGAGAAACAGGAAATACTATGTGTCATGAATTTGTGTTCCTGCTCCACAGTCTGGAACGAATGGGGAAAATCCCTCTTTACAGGTGGATTATGCGGCAGTGACAAGGGTCTGGGAAGAGGCCAGCCAGCACTCAGGAAGCCACGGCTGGTAATGGTTATCCATGTGGACCGTTTGCCCAGGAGGTCAGAGAGGCCAGTTTCTCTTCCTCCAGGGGCGCCCTTTGCCCTGAAAGTCTGAGCATTTCCCTTTCCCTGTTCCATTCTGACATGGACTCTGTCGAGAGTGATTCTGGAGCCCGCCCCCGCAGGGGTCAGGGGCCATCCTCTAGCCCTGTGCTTGGGGGACCATGCTAGTGCCCAAAACTGAACCTGGGCCTCCTGCATTCACAGCCCGTGCTCAGAGCTTGGTGCTCGGCACCGTCTCTCCTCTCCCTGGACTTACAGTGGGATGCCGTGCAAGCAGATACCTTTTCTCGGCGTGTCGCAGATAAGCACAGGAAATGCACATGTCCAAAACCCTTAAGACGGGGGACCTAATTTCATAAGCATTGCCCAGGAGGGTGGGGATGGAGTACTCATTTGGATTTTGCTGTATTGAAATATACATAAAATATGCCACCTTATCTTACGAGGACTGTCCATGGCTTTCTTAGCATCCACAGTGCTGGGCACTCTGTCTCCAGAGTACCCAGGCAGGAACTCAGCACCTCATCAACACGATTCCTGCCCCCTTGCCACCCCCGTGCCCTGCTCACCTCTCCCCTGTGTTCCCTGTATGGATCTGACTGCGTTGGGGAACTTCCTACGAGCGAAATCATGCGGTCGTTGTCAGGTTCTTTTTTGTTGTTGTTTTTTAATACTAATTTTTAGTGGGGAGTTTAGGGCCACACTTGGCAGTGCTCAGGGCTTATTCCAGGCTCTGAGCTGAGAGACCCCTCCTGGTAGAACCGGGTGACCGTATATAGTGCCAGGGATCAAACCTAGGTTGGCTATATCCAGGGCATGGACCTTACTCGTTATACCACAGCTCCAACTCCACATTATTTTTTCAAAATAATTTTATTTATAAAGTTATTCACAATGATTTTTTTTAACATTCAATATTCCAACACCAATCCCACCACCATAACACCTTCCCGCCACCATTATTTCAAAATTTCCCAACCACCACCCAAGCCTGCCCCAACAGCAGGCCCTAAATAATTTATTTTGTGTTGCTTGTGATGAATAATTCGCTAAATATGATCAAAAAAGATTTCCGTAGAAGAAGGTGAGTGAAGATTGTTGTATCTCACCCTGGAGCCATTAAGCCCTTGCAGAAGAGATTGCTAACATGTTTTTACAGGTGCGCTAATATTTTCTTAATCAAGATTGCCGGCCTTCTACTTCATATCCCATCCAATGTGGTGTGCTACTCCTGGTATATCAGTGATGGAGAGGATGAGATGTCGCATGGCCTCATACTCCAGGAATTCTAAAATTTTGAGTGGGGTGATAGAACTGGAGTTAAATTTTTAACTGGATGGTGGCTTTCGGGTCCGGAAACATCTCTGCAGCTTGTTGATCTTTTTAGAGGTTTATTTATGAGTCTCTGGATTGTGGCTGGTTAATGAGTTTAGGTGGCGCCAGAGGCAGTTCATGGGCATGACTGCCAGGCTCCCGGAAGAACAGGGGTGTGGGAGGAGGTTGCCCATCCCCAACTGTGTGAGAGCTTTGGAGATTTCCGTCACCAGACCTGCATACCCGAGTGTTTCAGCAGATTCATTCCTGAATGAGGCTCATCCTGAGTCTGTGGAGTCCTGCTGTGACACCTCCGAGGCCCCGGGGCCCAGCTTCCCATGGGTGACTCTGGACTCACTGACCTGTGTTCCGGTTTCTGGGAGGCTGACTCTGTGTTCAGGCACTGCCCCCCACTGTGCCCCTGGCCAGAATGAAGGAACCCGCTTTTCTCTCCTTCATCACCCAGGCAGGAGCAGGGGCTGTGTCTCCCTCGGGAGGCACTGGAGTGGGAGAGGGCCCATAGCATCAGGGACTCTGCATTGGGGCAGCTCTCTGGACCCCCCTGCCTTCTCTCCTCTCCCTTTCTTTTGGGCCGATCCCCTCCCTATTCACCCCCATCTGGCCATAAAGCAGGAGAAGGGGCTGGTCCAGCCCCCTGGGAGGCCTAGCGGAGGTGGGAGTGGTAGCACTGTAGCACTGTCCTCTGTTGTTCATCGATTTGCTCAAGCGGGCATCAGGAACGTCTCCATTGTGAGACTTGTTGTTACTGTTTTTGGCATATTGAATACACCCCGGGGAGCTTGCCAGGCCCTGCTGTGCGGGTGGGATACTCTTGGTAGCTTGCTGGGCTCTCCGAGAGGGATGAAGGAATTGAACCCAGGTCGGCCATGTGCAAGGCAAATGCCTATCCGCTGTGCTAGCGCTCCAGCCAGAGGGGAGATATTCACCACCACCATCACCATCCCGCCCTGGGAATTGTGCTGAGCTGTGTGAGAGGTTGGTGTATCTTAGGATAATTGGAAAGAAGATTTTTGGTTTTGAGACCTGCTGGAGAAAACGCTTCCAGCTGGAGATGCATAATTACATGAATGGGCCCCCAGGGACAGGAAAGATGGCTTTCCCCCAGCCAGCAGTCCTTCCGAGGGACGGTGAATGCTGGGCCCCGGCTTGGCACACCTGAAGGCAGAGGAGATGTTTTCCTGGGTGATTTCTGACCCCCCGCCACCCCAAGGTGCCCCTGCTTGGAGATCTCATACCCGTCCTGCGAGCTTCTGTCTCCCCAGGCCTGCATAAGTTGGGGGTCCCAGGCTCTCTTTTTCCATTAAAGCACCCCTCGCTGGGTGCACCGGGGAGGGCACAGTGCTCCAGGGACCCCTGGCTGTTGGGGATTCTCTTTAGAACCTGCATGAGGGAACCAGGACACAGCCTGGGAGAGTGAGAGGCTGAGATGGTTTCATGGGGTCTTAGCTCCACCCAGGGGACACCCCTCCTTGGGACAGGCGGTGGCCCGGGCACTCCTAGACCCCTTCCCGCCGCCCTGCTCGGCGCATGCTCTCAGGCACCCCCTCCTGTGCACATCCCCTCCTCATCCACCTCTGTCTACCCGGCGCCCACCTTCCATGTTGTTTTTTAGAAAAAGTTCTTTTGGGGTTATAGAGATAGGATGATGGCAGGAGACTGAAGTGAGCATTTGAGCCAAGAGTGCCGGTTAGGGTGGAGTTGAGATTTTGTGGGAGTTTGACTTCAAGTTTTTGGGGAAGAGCTGCTCAACTGTCATCATCTTCATCATCATCATCTTCTTCTTCATCATCTATATTCCACATAGGAATCCTTTGGGGGTGGGGACAATATAACTCAGGGGAAGGGCACTTGCTGTGCCTGTCTACGGACTGGTAGTTGATCCCCAGTATCGCAACAAAACAAAAATCTGAGCAATTTTTCAGGGTTGCTTCTTTCTATAAAACTGTAGTTGTCGTGGGGCTAGAGTGATATAGTACAGTGACAGGGCATTTGCCTTGCACACGGCCAACCCAGGTTCGATTCCCAGCATCCCATATGGTCCCCCAAGTACTTCCAGGAGTAATTCCTGAGTTCATGAGCCAGGGGTAACCCCTGAGTATCGCTGGATGTGACCCAAAAAGCAAAAAACAAAACAAAACCAAAAAACCTAAAAAACTGTAGTCATTGTATTTTGAGCTGCAGATGTATTTAGGAAAGTCACTTGAATTGTGAAAATTGTTGCCGGGCACTGAGTTTGGGGAGGTTCTCAAGGACACCCCACATACACTCCATACACTCACTTGTGGCAGCATCTGCTCTCCAACTTCCCTTCATTCAGGGGGTTCTTCTCCAGCAGTTGGGGGGTCTGTGTCTGCATGAGTTGGGAATTCTGCTGAAGAGGGTCTGCCATCCCCATTTAGGAATACCGATCTATTATTTAGAGCAGTGTTAATATTTTATTTCGCCTACAGGGGATAACATTTATAACTCTGTGCGTAGAATGGTGCAGGAGATTTTAAACACTGACGTCTGGTGGTTTTGCCTTGAGAAACGGTCTGTTCTGGGACTTACCTTCAGAGAAGAGCAGTTGTGGGTCAGACCGGTGTTCTCTGCCTTTTCTGCACCCACAGTCTGGTACTGTCCAGCACCCTGGTCCATGAGCCGGCTCTTAGAACCAAGGTGACTGGTGGGTTTCAATCTGCATGCACCATGGAGTAGCCCCGGGCCATGACCCTGCAGTGGAAGGTTTTCGTGGGTGTCGGGGATGGTGTGTGTGATTTGCTCTCCAAGCCAAGTGGACTCCCAATGCTGTTGGGGGTTAAGGTCAGGGTGTCCAGTTGCTGCTCCTGGAGATTCTGTCAATGGTGAAATGAATTCCATACAGCGCACAGCGGCGTTTGGCCGCAGAGCCCGCGGAGGAAGCATCAACCATTCTAATTCCCCTTTTCTTTTCTTCTCTCCACCAGTTTGCTGTTTTGTGGTTCACAAGAGGTGCCATGAATTTGTTACGTTTTCCTGTCCGGGTGCGGATAAGGGACCTGACACGGATGTAAGTAATCTGGATGCTGGGGGACTGCCATGCTCACGCTGGGGTCCAAGTGGAATTTCTTAGGTTGCTTTGCAGGGCTGGGGTGGCGTCTCCCCTTCCTGGGGACCTGGTCAGCGAGTCTTACATCACCTGGTCCTGCATAGCTGGTCCCGAGTTTCCCCATGGGTCGCATCACCTGTCGGACCCTCAGGGGGGCCATGTCCTCTCTCCATAGTGTCCACTCTCACAAACACGCTATGGCTCTTTCTCAAAGACGTTGACGGGTTTTACCACCAGCGTGGGTCGCCTTCCCCTGCCTTCCGTGGCTTCTGGCCCACGTGGCCATTGTTCTGGGGTGCTGCGTACACCCCGTCACTGCCTTTCCGCTCTGCGTCACCCACATAGCAGTGGGTGGAGGGAGTTTTTAGCACCTGTTTGAGCAACTGCGCTCCGGAGTGGCCGCGTGCGGGCATAGAATTGTGTCTGACTCGATGGAGCGTTTCTGTCATGTCTCTTGATGACCAAGAAAGGGCTTGGGCAAGGGGAGTTCATTCGGCGGTCTGGGAAGGACCAGTATGGGGGCTGGCCTGGGGGACAGGAAGGCGCTGGCTGGAGACCAGCAGTTTCTATCTCTGGAGCGGAGGTCGGGGAGAGCAGTCAGTTCTAGTCCGAGTCGCCTTATGGGCACTGAGGGTGACCTTTTCCGCTGGCACAAGTTGGCTTGGAAAAACTGACTCCAGAGTCACAGCAGTGTAGACAGGGCCGATAGCAGTGTAGACACCGTCCCTTCCTGGAAGATGATATCTCCATAGGGATGGCGGGGACATGTGGCTGGTTCGCGCATGTGCATGTGTTTTGTTTGAACCCCGGCACTGAAGGGACTCGCTGTTGCCCGTCTGTGCTTGGAACCGGCTGAGCACCAGTGTGAAGGCTCCCAGAGGCAGCCTGGGGTGGGGTGGGGGAGCACTCTGAGCCACCCCTTTCCCGCTGAGTCTCACACACCCAGGAGCCTAACGACCAGCAAGCCCAGGCACATGGGTGTTGAGTGGCTTCGTGACAGAAGGAAGAATCTATTCAAGCACCTCAGCACCTTCCAAGAATGCCGTCTCCCTCCCTGGGGGTCCCCAGGCGAGAGGCTCAGTTCACTTGCCGTTTCTCACAGGCACCCCGAGCTCAGCCGCTTTCCAGCCGCAGGGGAGCGAGGGGAGAGGCCCCAGGGAAGGAGCTTCAGGGTCATCCTTCCCACGAAAGGCAAAGTGCTGAGGAACGGAAGCACCATTCACAGCTCACTGCAGCTAGGGGGAACGGAGTTGGAGCTTCTTTGGGAAGATAATCGGGGCGACTTAAGCTGGCCCAACTGGGAAGGGGGCCTTGGGCTTCCAGGCAGGGTGGCTAGAAGACCTCCTTGTCCCGGCCCTGCTTCCAGAGAGGAGTCAAGCATTCCGGGACTCCAAGCAGCCACTGTGTGCTAAACAGAGAAGAGAGAAAAATGAGACTGAAAGAACCCAGCGTGGGTTAGTGACACCCCTGCCAGTCCCGTGTATCCCAGGAGCCTGGGCGCAGGTTGGCAGGGGGTGACCCAGGACCCACCACGCTCTCCCTGCTCAGGCTGGAAAACTCCCCCCCACCCAGGTGCGGAGGGTGGGGCTTGCAGTCAGGTTTGGTCCCAGGTGCCCCCCCCCCCCCCCCCCCCGCCAAGATGCCTGCATGCATGAGGCATTGGAGAATTAGGAGCAGCTCCGTCGTAATTGAGAAATGATTCTCCTGACCCCTGCCCCCGTTAAGACATGAGCTTGGGCATGCACTGGGAGGAATCTGAGTTGTACAGTGTAGCTTTGGCCAGTGTGGAGTGGGGGTGGGGTGGGGGTGGCTCTGGATGCTGCAGAGAGAGGGGCAAAGGTGCTCGCTCGGGTGCATGTGCTAGCATGCATGGGGGCCCCCGAGTTTCAACCCTCCATGTCCAGAGCAGCATGGGGTCACCCTGGACATTACGCCCCAGTTCTGCCGGGTCCAAGCAGCATTGCGTCCTTGGGGTCCAGTGTGGAGCTGTCCAGCCCAGTTGGCCCAGGGTGACCCCCGCACCCTCTGATCCTCCTCCCCCCTAAGAAAGAACCAGAAGTGCTGTCGTCTTTGTTTCTCAAGCCCTGTTGGGCACCCGTCCTGGTGCCTTCCCTGGCCCTGCTTTGGCCGAGCCAGGGAGAGGGGATGGGTGAGGGCTAGAGGGCTGGGGAGGGGGCCGAGGGCTCATCTCCCGAAGACTCTGCGCCTCATTTGAAAGAACCCCCACCCAGTCTCACAGTCCTGAGGTCCTCGAGTCCTGTGTGCGCAGGAGGGCGGGGAGGTGGGGGCGTGGCCTCTTGGCATGACCGCCACGTGTGAGCCTGCAGAGAGCCAGGCTTTGGGGGCCATTGGGCCATCGGCCACCTGCCCAGAGACATCCCGTGCCTCAGCCTTTCAGTCTGTGATGGCGCAGGGCCTGGATGGTGTTGCTCCATGAGCTGGGGAGTAGGCAAGGATGGGCGGTGGTGAGGCCCCGGGCTCCCTGCATCAGAAGGGGGTACCAGGGGCTCTGGCCACTTAGTCCCTTTATCCTGTGCATTTCCACCAGCCAACCTGGGCAGAGCCCCTTCCCTCGGCGATGCTCATAGTTCCCAAACCAAGCAGTGAGCAGAAAGTTGAATTCCTTTTTTTTTCTTTCTTTTTTTTGGGGGGGGGGGGTCACACCCGGCAATGCTCAGGGGTTACTCCTGGCTCACACACTCAGGAATTATTCCTGGCAGTGCTCGGGGGACCATATGGGATGGCGGGGATTGAACGCAGGTCGGCCACATGCAAGGCAAATGCCCTACCCGCTGTGCTATCGCTCCAGCCCCAAAAGTTAAATTCTTGGCTGGTCCTGGGACCCCAGGCAGAAGACGGGCAGGGCCGGTGCCCACACAGGCAACTGCACCGGGAACCGGTGCTGGGTAGTATGTTCAGGAAAGCCCGGATGCAGATCTGAGCCAGCCCGACCAAAGGCAGGACGCTTGCTTCTGATGTGGGTGCAGCGGCATGGCAGAGGATGGCACAGTGGGGCCGGGGGTGGAAACCGAGCTTGGCGGCTCCCCGCACTCAGAGCACAGAGCCGAGCCAGGGGCCCGGGCATCCAGGCAGCACGGAGCCCCGGCTGTTCCAGCATGCGCTGGAGCAAATGGAAAAGGCGACTTGCTTGTTTAAAATTCAACATTTCAAAGCTGCTTTGGTAACAACAGCGCCAAACACTTAAAATAAATCCAGAGATAAATTTAATTAGCCGAGCCTCTCTGCCTTCCCCAACTGTGCTCTTGCGTTTAGCGCGGAAGTGAGGCAGTTGCGAGTGTGCGTGTGCGCACTGCCCAGTGAGCTATCCGGCCCCTCTCCCCACAGCCCGGAACCTTCTGGTGCTTCTGGAGCGAGGCGGAGTCCCCCGTGAGCACCCGAGAATAAAAGAGGCAATGAGAACTCGCATTTCGCGATGCAGACTGGTCCTGGAGTGGGAGCTTGGGGGAGTCCAGGCCCCCAATATCGTTCCAGACCCACAACCCTTGGGCCAAGCTTGAGGGTCCTCAGCCCTTTGGTCAGTGTCTGATTGTTTGAGGGCTGCCTGCAGGCAGGGCTGTCCCAGGGACCTCTCGTGGAAGGACACGCTGAGCGGACTGAGGTACCCACACTTTCACCTGGCATTGGACCCTGGCACCCAGCAGAGGGAGAGAGTATCTGAGCTCTGCTGAACTGAAGTAGATAGCAAGAGGAGTCCTTTCTGGAGGGCTTCCTGGAGGTGGTATAGTACCTTGCCATGGGCTTACATTCTTTACAAACTTTAAAAAAAAATTTTTTTTAAAGTACCATGATTTAGAAAGTTTTAGAGTTGGATGTCCCAGCATCAATCCCACCCCCAGTGTCCCCAGGAGCTCCAAGCCCTAGCGTACCCGTCTGACTGGCACATATATTTAAGCTTGGTGGTTGTGTTTTGCGTCTCCTATTTTCGGCGTTGTTGACGCTGCAGTTTGGGTGTTTAGCTCTCCCACTCCTCTAAGAGAGAATGTGATATATTAAGGTGGGGTGGGGAATGCCGAGATCCCCCTGGACCCCAGAGCACAGGAAGGAGGAGGAAGAGGAGAACAGAGAAGCAAATAAAGTGAGGCAGGGAATAAGAAAAGAGAGAGGCACATCCTGGCCAGCTTTACTGGTGGCAAACGCCCCTTCTCACGTGCGTCCCGTGGACACTGGCAAGTTTCAGCTCTTGCCCTGTGCCGCCCTGCAGGGCACTGACACTGGGTTGGGGGGAAGGGGCGCTCTGCTCCCAGCCCAGGCTTCCCAGGTCTCCCCAGCTCCTCCCTGGGAAGACGGTGCTGGGTTCCGAATCCCCCACCCCCCACTCACTACCGGGGAGCCTTCCTCACCCCCAACATGCAGCGAAGCCTCAGGAGCCCTGGAGAAAGTCCTTATTTCAGGGAAACAATTGCGCCCTCCCCGTTGCTAATTTTGCGGGGCAGTGGGTGGCCACCCGCCCGGACCCACAACGCTCACGGTAGCACAAGTGTTCCCCACGGGGAAGGCGCTCCTGCTACTTTCGCAACAAATTAATTTAGCCGGGGAGTTAAAAATAGCCTGGCAGCTCTGAGGAGCCCCTGGAGAGGATGGGGTGGGGGCGGGGGGAGGTGCCCCTTCTCTCTGTCTCCCACCCCCAGCCCACCCTGGGCCTGGGTGGGCAGAGGCGGAGGGTGGAAGGCTCCAGATGTGGGGAAGTGAGTCGAGGAGGACTTGACTCAGGCGGGACGGCTTCTGCAGGGGACCAGGCGAGTGGCCTTAATGGGTCCCCTGCTCCCCACCAGAAGTAGAATAACGACCCGGCACACATGCAGGTTCCTGGGACGAAAATCCTGGGTTGTTTCTTGTGGGTGTTTGGCCCTGCCTCTGAAGAGCTGGTTGGCACAGAGAATAAATGGGTGCTGGTCTGAACCCCATTTGGCTGCCTGCGGTGCTAAACTGGTCTGGGGCAG